TCTGTAACAGTCACCCGTAACATCCTTTCAGGGGCGATAAAATAACATAACACAAAGCATGGGCCTAGGGTGGGCTCAGTGAACGTGGGTTCCTCCCTCCCGGCCTGCCCTGCGACCCCATGAATTGCCCTGGGAAAGGCTTAGCGTCTGGACGTGAACCCAAGGATCAGAGGAAGCTGCTGACTCCGGGGACAGAAGTCAGAAAGTGAGGGGCTCCTCAGCCTTCTCCCCGAGGCTGGAGGTAGCTCCGGAGGCCCAAGGGCTAAGGAACATCACGGCTCACCACCATTGCCTGCCCACGGCCGCTGACTGCCCCACCTTCCCTCACGGTGGCGCTGTGGGTCCCTTCACTTTGCTCCCAGATGCTCCCAGCAGAGCCTCCCAGGTCAGGCCCGGCCCTGTAACCTGCCCTCCTGCGGGACACAGCGCTATAGCTCACTGAGGCCTCCACCTTGGGCCCCTTGAGAAAGTGAGTGGGGGCTGAGCTGAGGGGGCTCTGAATGAGAAGTGAGGGGAGGCCACTGTGCTGGGGGTGCCCCACCGAGGGCCTGGGCTCCTGTCCTTGCCGGAATTCCTCCTCCTCTCCCAACAGGCGCCCCCTGGAGCCTTCCCCGTGGAGCTGCCCTGCCCTGGGGATCGAGGAGCATGGGTCCTGGAGCCCAGAGCTCGAGACTCTCTCCCTGAGAGGGCAGGCAGGTCAGCCCTCTCCGGAGCTTTTGCGGGTTACTACCCCCACCGCAGACTTGCCAGAAAAATCCATTGTGTTCCTCCAACAAGCACTGAGTGCCCACTGAAACTGGAGTCCTAAGGATGCAGAACAGACTCTGCCCTCCATGGTACCTACACGATCCCCTTGTGCCCTGGCTGGTGTAGTTCAGTGGATTGCATGCCATCCTGCGGACCAAAAGGCCACTGGTTCGATTCCCAGTCGGGGCACATGCCTGGGTTGCAGGTATTTCTTGCCTGTGATGTTTCTCTCCTTTCTTCTCCCTCCCTTTTCCTCTCTAAAAATAAATAAATAAATAAAATCTTTAAAAAATAAACAATTGTCTTGTAAGTAATAGAATCTCACAGTGAGAAGCAGGAGAGGATGCCATGAAGATCTGGGAGCAGGGGGACCTCCCAGAGGGGCCGACCTCAGCACAAGAGCCCGAGGTGAGCAGGGGGGGTGGGCCTAAAGGCCGTGTGGGTGACACACAGACAGGAGACTCCAGGCGGGAGAGGGCGTGGCTGGGTCAGAATGGCAGAAATGGCTCTCTCCCTAAGATCCTGGCTGGCCCTGCTGGAGCCCCGCCCCTCACTGTCACCCAGGTAACTCCCCTGCCTTCTCTCCTTGCTTCTCTCCCTTCCCTGTCCCTGCCAGGGGGTCCTAGAAAACAAGATAGGAGGCTGCTCAGGTCCCCAATATATTCCCTGTCTTTGTCCCAGGCCAGGGGAAGGGCTCAGAGGCCTATTGCCCCAGGAGTCTGGCCGGGGGCCTCGGAGGGGGAGTAAAGGACAGAAGGGGCCCTGGGGCCTGCAAGAGACCAGTGGGAGTGTGTGTGTGTGTGTGTGTGTGTGTGTGTGGTGGGGGGGGTGTCTCACTGATCCCCTGTTCAGGACACCCTCTCTGTCCTGCCCCCCAGTGGGGCACAGAAGGTAGTTCTCGAGCCTGGCCCTGCCTAGTCCCCTGGCACTGACCCTCAGGGGCTCTTGCCATGGGGTACCCTGTCCCAGGTGACTTTTTCCCGGGTCGGGCCCGGGGAGGTGGCCTGGGCCAGGTGTGTGCTGCCCAAGGCTGGGTGTCCGAGTAACTGTGCCCCAAGCTCATGGCTCTCGTGGGAGGGCATGCCTGTTTTCACGGCCTGGCGAGTCGGTGCGCCTCCTTCTGGCCTCTCTCTGGCCCAGCAGGAGTTGGAGGGCATGTATAGGAAGGGAGGGCAGGAGGCTGAGGGACTGGGCCTGGCTGACCTTTCGGGTCAGAGCAGCAGCGGGATGGGAAGGGGCACGTGACTCAAAGACGCCACTCCAGCGGTGCCTGCAGGGCCTTCTGGGCTATGGCAGACGTCAGCTGGGCCAAAACGTTTACTTGAAGAGCAACCCAGGGTCTGAGCCTTGGTTTCTCTGTCTGTAAAATGGGCCGCTTTGCCCGCTCTGCCTCTTTTGTGGGGTGACTGACTGGCCTTGCCCAGGAGGCAGCTGGAAGGTGGAGGCATGATGTGGGTGGCACTGCTCTCTGGTGGCCGGAGCTGGAGTTGCTGGGCGCCCATGTCTGGACCCAGATGGTGCCACCCCCTGGGGACCAGCAGGGTCCCCTTCGTCTTTTCTGTCTTCTCCACTTCATTTCCTCCTTCTTCACCTCAGACTTCCCAGGGACCTCAGGATTGCTTTTTCACGGGCAGGGAACATCCGGTTCAGCAGACCTCTGTTCAGCAGGAGTTGAGTGGCCGTCTCTGTCGTCCCATCTGTGCCGGTTGTCGGACTGCGGAGCTCCAGGAGACACAGCGAGACTGTCCAGGAAGCTCGAAGCAGAGGCTAGTGGCGAGCCACTCGCCAGGGCATCAGCTTCACGATGAATGAAAGCATGTCCAAGAGCAGGGAGTCCTGCGGGGCTGGACTGGAGGGGGTGGCAGAGGTGCAGGTGGGACCCCAAACGGGGAGAGTGTGAATGTGGTGCCAGAACGTTGGCCCCTGTTGGCATGGTGACGGTGAAACTATGTAAGATTGCAAGGAGAGGCTGACATCATCTGATTTTCAGCCCTTCTTGCAGAGGATGGGGAGTCCCCAGGGGTAATGTGTGTCTGTGTATTAGGACTTTAAAAACCACTTTTTAGCCCTGCTAATGGGTGGGGGGGGTCTCATTCTGGGAGATGAAAGGCTCCAAAATTAGATGGTGGTGGCGGCTGCACATTTCTGTAAGTATACTGGAAACCACTGATTGGACACTTTTAAGTGCTAAACTTTATGGTATGCAAATTATAGCTTTTTTATTTTTAAGAAATATTTTATTTATTCATTTTTAGAGAGAGGGGAAGAGAAGAAGAAAGAGAGGGAGAGAATCAATGTGTGGTTGCTTCTCGAGCGCCCCCTACTGGGGACCTGGCCCACAACTCAGACATGTGCCCTGACTGGGAATTAAACTGGTGACTCTTTGGTTTGCAGGCTGCTCTCAATCCACTGAGCCACACCAGCCAGGGCCATTATAACTTTTTTTAAAAAGAGGGATAGGGTCGTTAGGGACTAAATGTTTGTGTCCCCCCAAGTTGGTGTGTTGAAACCCTAACCCCCAGTGTGATGGCATTAGGAGGCGGGGCCTTTGGGGAGTGATTAGGTCGTGAACTCTCAGGAAAGGGAACTGTGGTCTTAAAAAAGAGACCCCAGAGCACTCCCTCCCCCTCCTGCCGTGGGAGGACACCACGGGAAAAGGCGGTCATCCATGAACCGGGAAGTGGGCCCTCACCAGACAGGGGATCCTGGACTTCCAGCCTCCAGAACCGTGAGAAATAAAGTCTTGTTGTTTGGAAGCCACCCAGTCTACGGCATTTTGTTGTAGCAGCCAGAAGGAACTAAGTAAGACTCGGTGCCTGGTGTTTATATTGATTGAGTAATCAATATTTGTGAATGAATAAATGAGCCCAGATAGAAGGAAACGTTCTTACTACCACACTGGTCCCCTGGAGAGCCCATGGGCAGGGTACTCGGACCCTCCTTCCTGGGTTGTGTCTGTGGTCTATGCTGTGTCACGGTCATCAGACCCTGAAGGCACCTTGTCAGCAAGCCTCTGCCCCAGACGCACCTTGGACCCCTGTCCTGGGCTCAGGCTTCCAGTGGTGGCCGTTTGGGGAAGGAGCTCCTGGAATTTCATAAGCTTGAGGGGAGAGTGTGTGGGAGGGATGGATTAGAGAAGGATTCACATGGGAGGATGGGTGATTCACACCGGAGGGTGCGGGGAGGAGGTCAGCTCACTGTCTGAGGATGAGGCCTCAACGCACAAGAGCTTTAGAGGGGAGACACCAGAAATATCTGGGAAGTAAATTAAGCCAGACTTGGTGACCGATTGGGTATTGAAGAGAGGGGCACTGGGGCGCCAAGAACCACCCCAACGTTTTAAAAGAAGCATTGTCCGGCCATCTCTTTTTTTGGCCCGCTGGTTGCCCCAGTCCCAGGGCTTAGAAATGGCCACTGGACTCTTCTGTTGCCTATAGTCCACTCAGGACTTACGGCGACCCGGTAGCTGTCCGTCCCGCGCTGGGCGCAGGGGGACACGCACCCTGCGCGGAAGGGGTGCAGACGCACTCCGACCCCTGCTGGCCTCCGGATAAGGGATGCTCTGGGGCGGCGGGAGAGAGAGCTGTCTTCACCCGGACACGTCCGAGCGGGGTCTCCGGGAAGCACAGGTGTTTGCCAGGGTGGACAGAGGTGGGCAAAGTGAGTGCGCGCTGGAGGTGAATCTCCAGGAAAGGCAGGAAGGCGAGTGAAGGAATAAGAGAGAGGGCTGTGGCGGGCTGGAGCACGGCAGTGTGAACGCGAGGGCTGGAGAGTGTGCGACGCGCCAGACTGGGCAGCGCGTGGGGTTTGGGTTGATCTCTCAGCCCTCGGGGAAAGAAAGACACGATGTTGCCCAAACTCACGGGCCAACTCCAGGAAAGGCAGCGAAAACCCAGACAAGACAGGAGGAAGAGGGTGCTCCCAATTAAGGACTTCCGAGTCCCCGAGAAGCTGCGGATTTGGGCAGAACCATTCTCTGGAGGTGGAGGGGGGGGGGAAGCTCTGCGCTCAGAACCAAGCCGGCGCGGAACCAGCTGGAACCTTCGCTCGAGTCTTTTTGCTCTTCTTTTACTGTTTTTTTCGCCTTGTTCTGCCACCATGAGCTCGCCCCGGCGCGAGCTCCGGGCCCGGGCACCACTTGTTGCTCCTCGGCCGCCCCCTCCCGCTCGTGGGTCGGCCCGGCGGGCGCCGAGCCAGGCGCAGGTTATAAAGGCCGAGCTGTGACAGCTGACTGCTGTCCCAAGATGCGCCCGATGGAATCGGGCGAGGGATGCGCCGGGGATGGGCCCGAGAACTCCCCAGCGATCACCCCCGCATCCCCTCCCGCAGACAGTCCCGCTCCAGAGCCCTCCGCCGAGCGGGCACCCGCTGCGGGACAGGGGGAAGGGTCCGGATCCCCGTCCGTCTCGGGACCCCCAGCCGGAGCTTGCCCGGCTCCCGAGGCTGGATCACAGGCGGGAGCCCCACGCGCGTCCTCATTCGCGCCAGTCCACGGGGATGCCCAGTCTGTGACCGGCAACTCGGACGCGCCGAGGACCCGCTTCATATCCCAAGGGTCTCCCCGGACCACTGAGCTGGGGACGCGAAACGGAGCGGACGCCTCGAAGACGCCGACTGCGTATACCGGCCAGCAGTCGGGGGTATGGTGCCCGGAGCGCTCCACCTTTATTCGGGAGCAGGAGGAAGGTAAGCCAACCTGGTCCCGGGACCCCGAAGCGGGGGAGACTAGGGCAGCTCAGGGGAGGAGGGGCGTCATCGGGTCCAGGCGCTCCGGCCCCTCTGGCACTCAGTCCCCCTCCTCCACCCGCCCACGCGTTGTCACTGTCCGCAGTGCCCGTCCGGCCGCCTCTTTCCCACCTCCTCCCCTTCTCTCGGTCCCTGATTGCCGTCAGTGGGCCAGGTCCCGGGGCCCGCGCGCTCCCCCGCCCCCACTGCACGCCTGTTGCTGCGCCAGATCTGCGCACTCTCGTGCCCACCTCCCGGGTCTACCGCAGTGCCAGGAGAGGGGCGGGGGCTGCGGGAGGGCGCTGCCCGCGCGCTCTGAGCCTGCGCTGGCCCGCAGCGCCAGCCACCACCGGAAGGTGGGTGGGCAGAGGGGGAGGTTTTGCCAACCTCTTGGCTGCTGGGCGGGTTAAGGTGCAGCTCTCCCCAACTCCCCCCAGCCTGGGGGCGGGGGGGGGCGGGCCCTCACGCAGACTCTGCCGCTTCTTTTCCCTCGCATCTTTCTCTGGGTCTCGGGAGATCTCTGGATTGGGTCTAGAAGCTCAGGTGCTCCGACTCCAGTGCCAGAGAAATCGCTTTCCCTCTCCTCTCCGCGCGCAACAGGTGCAGGGGTGATGACTGCGCCTGTTTTTATGACCCGCGAGGCCCCGACGAGGTGGCCACAGCTCCCCCCTGGCAAAGGGGCGATGAGTCAGTCTGCCGCCGTACTTGCACTAGCTGCCCCCATTCTCCCCAGTGCCAAGGACCCAGGCATCCCGAGAGCCCATTTCCACCTGAGCCTGGAGGACTTTGGTCTCCTAACCCCTCCGGGGGAAGCGGGGGTGGGGGCGGGGCGCGGGAGAAGGAAGGAAAAGAGTCCTGTTGGCTCTGGGAGCAGGGACGAGAATGCTGAGTCCTGGGGGGTGTGGAGAGGAGGTTGGGAGCAGGAAGGAGCCCAGTCGTCTCCTCCCTTGTTGCTGACCCTTGTTGTCAAGGGAGACTGGGGACAGGGCAGGAAGGAGAGGGTGCAGCATAGCAGACGCCCACCCTTCCCCTGACCCGGCTGCTCCACTGTCTCTTGCAGCACTGTGTCCTGAACAGCCCCTGCCAGTCAAGAAGATCACCCCAGAGGATGGCAAAGTGATGACAGATTTGCTAGAGGAGGTGTGCTACCTCCCCACCCCCCCTGCCCACTGAGCCCACCCGAACCTTAGCCGGCCCCTGTCTGCATTCTGTCCTGCAGGGGTGGGGGCTTGTCTATTTCCTGCCTGGCTCCCTCTCTAGGGGCCAAGCTGGGAGTCCCTCTTATGGGAAGCAGGTACATGTAGGCTGTCCAGGCTGGAAGAGCTTTTAGAGCCCTCTGGTCTGATCTGCTCTTTTTCCATAAGGGGAAACTGAGTCAGGTCCCACAGCAGGTGAATGGCAGACTCTTGTCTAGGGGATGGGGAGGGTTCGCCCTAGTCTCCTAGCTTCCCTCTGACCCCTGCGTGCTCCCTAGCTTCTCCCACCTGTCTGGGAGACCCCAGAAACCGGGAACTTATTTCCCATGGATGGGGGTCCCTCTGCAGAGAGAGTGGGACCCGGACACAGCAGCTCGCGTAGACCAGTCCCTGGTGAAACAGAACGGCGTCCTGATGGAGGAGAACAGCAAGCTGGAAGCCATGCTGGGCTCGGCCAGGGAGGAGGTGACTTGGGGGGAGGGGAGGGTGTGAGGGGCGTGCCCTCAGCCCACCTGCGGCTCCCGTGCCCTGCCCCAACCCAGGGCTACTCTCCCCCCCTGCCAGATTTTACACCTCAGACGCCAGGTGAGCTTGCGGGATGATCTCCTTCAGCTCTACTCAGACTCTGATGATGATGAGGAGGAGGAGGAGGAGGAGGAAGAGAGGGAAGAAGAGGAGGAGGAGGAAGAAGAGGAGGAAGAAGAGGAAGAGGAGAAGCAGCAGCATAGTCAACCCTGTGAAGTCCCTGAGCGGTGAGTGCCCTGCCTTTGCACCTGATGACCCAGGTTTCTTGTTTGCAGACAGGGGCGTGGATGGATGGACGGTGTGCCTGCCGGCAGGGTTGCCGGGGCTAACTGAGATGCACCGCTTAGCCCAGGCGGGCTGGGAGCTGGCCCCCTTCCCCAGCCTGACCCTTGGCAGCACCCTGACTCCCATCACTCCCTCCCCAGGACGCCGCTGCCCGAGCCGGAGCACCGCTGCCCGCAGCTGGAAGCCCTGCAGGAGCAGCTGCGGCTGCTGGAGGAGGAGAACGGGCAGCTGAGGGAGGAGGTGAGGCGGGAGGGGGGAGGGGGGCGAGGGCCAGCCCGTGGGCAGGCACCGTTGACTGGCCTGCTCCTTCCTCTCTCCCTCCTTCCAGGTTTCTCAGCTTGATGTCCTCAACGAGGAGATGCTTATTCTGCAATGTGTGGAGCAGTTTGGTACGTGAAGTTGTCACCTGGATGGGGGTTTTTTTTCTTGGAGCAGAGGGCAGAACTCAGGATCTGAGACCCGAGTTCAAGTCCCAGTTCTGGCACTTCCTGGCTGTGTGAGCTTGGATGGGTTCCTTGACCTTTCTGAACCTTCATCTTCAGAACGGGGGTTCATCATCTCAGCCCTCCTGACCTCTCCAGGGGTCACAGCTGAGGAACTGCTCTGTGCAAACTGTAAAGAGCTGCACAGAGGCTGTGGGTCTCCTGGAAGCCAGCCTCCCTTTGTTACTTGGGGTTAGGGGAGAAGGGGGCTGGGAGCCCAGATGGGTGTTCTCAAAGCGAGTTTGCCTGTGTCCCTCTTCCTCCTAAACCTCCCCAGTAACTTCCCTCTGGCCGAAGGATAAAGCCCCAACTCCCTGCCAGCCTTGGAGAGCTGGGCCCTGCCCACTGTCCCAGCCACTCCGTCCCAGCGTCCTGTGATGTCCCCTGGGCCTCCCCACACCCGGCCTGGGCCGTTCCTTCCCTGCCGCCTGGCTAAGCCCTCTGTGCCCTCGGGAGGTCTTTGCTTCGAGGCTTTGCAAGCAAGACCAGGCTGGGCTGCTCCATGACAGTCAGCACCGTGCACCCTTGTGACTTCTATTTCCATCAGTTCCCCCCCACCCCGCCCCCCCGCTAGACCTGAGTTCAGTGGGGCTGGGACCAGGTCTGGTGGACTGCTCACCCAATGCCCTGCTCCACGTCGGTCAGTAGCGGTTTGTTAGAAAGGAGGCCTGAGTTAGGAATGCCACCCCAGTGGACCCAAGGGTACTCCGCAGGAGCCGAGGGTAGGGGTGGACAGAGGCCTCTGGGAGGACCAGAACTGACCTCCTGTCCCCGCTCCTTCCCAGCGGAGGCCAGCCAGCAGATGGCTGAGCTGTCGGAGATGCTGGTGCTCAGGATGGAGAACTATGACCTGCAGCAGGAGGAGGTCACCCAGCTGCGGACCCAGGTCACCAGCCTGCAGGAGCGCTGCCAGTCGGTGCGTCGGGGCGTGTGGGAGGCTCCCTCCTTGTGTCACGGTCCCAAGGGACCATTTCCCTGCCCCGACACCCTGGAGCTGTCAGCTCAGCCAGGCCCCAGGCCAGAAGCAGAGCTGGAGGAGACCTCGGGGAGCCCCTGCTCTTGCCCCCTCACCCCAAGGAAGGGACCAAAGTGGTTCAGGAATCAGGCCACATACCCCCCTCTTCCCCGTTTGGCCTGATTTCACGTGACTTCCTGCTTGAAGGGCTGGCAAGGACTCACTGATGTGTGCCTGGGAAGACTTGCCCGAAGCAGGGGGTGCCTAGCAGCGGGAGGCTTTGTGGGTGGGGCTCATTGGTCTTCCGTTCTTCCAGTACGGGGCTGAGACGGAGAAGTTGCAGCAGCAGCTGGCTTCCGAGAAAGAAATCCAGATGCAGCTCCAAGACGAGGTGAGGCTCCCCCGGGCTCCTGCCTGGGCTCTTGAGAGCCTCCGACCCCAACTCTCGCGAGAAGGACAAGCTCCTGGCACCAGGGGCGGGTCTGTCTCTCTCCTCACCCTCCGTGTCTGGCACTGGGCCTGAAGGAGGGGGGAAGTTCAGTTGGAGTCTGAGTGCGGTGGAGTCCGGGCACCTGCTGGGGTCGCCCTGCATGTCCCGTGGGTCTGGAGCCTGGGCCTCCTGCCTCTTCGCCCAGCTTCCCGGCCCCCTGGAGAGATGGGGGGCTGGGGGTGCTGAGTCCCGGCAGCTCCCGCGGGTGGGTTCCAGCTGCAGGATCTTCGGGAGAAGTACATGGAGTGTGGGGGCATGCTGACCGAGGACCAGGGGGATGGGAAGCCCCTCCGCCAGCGAGCCCCTGCGTCCACGGACTCTGCCACCGGCTCTACCCGCAACGGCCCTCCGGTGAGGACCCCCTGCCCGCGGCCTTTCCACTCGTGTCCCCTGTGTCTCAGCCCTGCTGGGTGGTCTATCCTCGGCCCCAGCCTGTCTCTGGATGTGTGGGTGGGGTTCAGTGGGGACCCGCTGGTAATGTTCCGCCCCTTCTCTGTAGGAGGAGCCTCCAGAGGGCCAGGAGCCCCCGCCTGAGGAGCGCAGGCGGTCTGTGAGGAGGATTGTCCTGGACCCTCTGTTTATTATGGAAGGGTACGCGGCCGGACCCCAGGCCCCGCGGACCCGCATTCACTCTTGCCTTTCCTGCAGCGGGAGGGGCTTGCCCTCCTGTTTCTACCTTCAAGCCAGTGCCCGTCCTCCCGCCTCCTTTACTGCCCAGCCCCTCCCACTCCCCCCGCCCTTTTCTCTCCCCCCCAGGGTCTAGGTCTGGGCTCCTCAGTCCTCCCCCCGCTCCCACACTCCCAGGATTTCTGCATGCTGGGGCCCCAGGGACTTGGCAGTTTTAGCTTCCGTTGCCTTGGACTGCGACGGTCCTTCTCTCTGTTGAGGAATTATGAAATAAACTCAGAGGAGAATTGACACCTGGGGTAAGCCAACCAGGGGCACCCCCATCCCCTCCCCTCCCCTCCCCTTTCAGCAGCCAGACAGCTGCCTGCAGCTGCTTCTGTGGCCCTCCAGCCCTGGACACGGCCCAGATCTCTGCTGAGTGGAAAGTCATTCTGGGAAGGAGCTGCTTCCTTTGACTTCAGATCTTGCCCCATCGGTGGCCATCTGGTTTCAGGCAGCCCCTAGTGGAGCCTGGAGCCTTCCCTTTACCTGACCAGGGGCTGGGGGGCACATGGACACTGGCCTTGGAGCTGGGAACACCTGGGACTGAGTCCCATTTTTGATCCCTTTCTTGGCTGTGTGTCCTTGGGCAAGTCACTTGGCCTGTCTGAGCCTTACTGTGACAACTAGCCGTGGGATGGGGCGTAAAGGTTAAAGAATGAGAGAGGGGGCAGTGGCAGTATCATCCCTGTTAGTCTCTGCTGAGCAGCAGGGTCGGGGGCTAAGGGAGGGCGGGGCCTGTGCAGTGTTAGAAACCACTCTTCCTCCTTCCTGCTGGGAGCTCTGGCTGCGTGTTAGACACCTCGAAGCTGGTCCCCAGCTCCCCTCCCTCCTGGCTGGGACAGGACGGTGTTGTAGTTCTGGGTCTGTGTATGGACTGAGCAGAGGGTAGGATTGCTCCTCAGCCCTCCACCCCCGTGGCGATGCTGGGGCTGGCAGGCGGGGGCCTGGTAAGCCTTGCCTGTCTCCCTGCCCAGGTGTGAGCTGTACTGCAGCGACGAGCAGGAGCAGGAGCAGGAGCAGGAGCAGGGGTTCGAGGCTGAGGAGGGGTCCACGCCAGCAGAGGAGTTCACGCTGGTGGAGCTGCTGGTGCCTGAGGAGGATCTGGGGGCCATAGAAGAGGTAGTGCCGGCCGAGAACAGGGTGACGGAACACGCGGAGCTGGTGTTGGAGGAGGCTGAGGCCTGGGAGGAGGTAGAGCTGGAACTGGATGAGACGGCCCCGAGGAATGTGGTGACCTCAACCCTGGAGGCCACTAGCTTGGGCCTCTCACACCTGGACATTAAGCATGTCCTCCAGCAACTGGCCAACTGGCAGGACACCCATTACAGGCAGCAGCCGAGGCAGAAGACACCCCAGAAAGGTGAGTGCTCCCATGGGGCCTCCCTCCAGCCAACCGGACAAGCTGCAGATCTTCAAGCCGATGAAAGGTGAGGGTAGGTGAGCCCCCACCAAGTGCTCACTTACCCCAGCCTGGCCCCACCCAGTGTGCTGATTTGCATGGACTTTGTATATCACTTGCATAGGCACCTCAAGTTCCCCTCAGCTGGGATGGGCCCCAATGCTCATTTACATGCAATTTGCATAGGATTCCAGATCTCCACCCCCTTTTCTCCTAGGGGCTGGGCTGGGGGTCAGGGCCAGGACTGTAGCTTCCCATGCACCTCAGCTTCCTGTCTCTGCCCACCCCCTTCCCCCTGCCACCCTCATTCTACCTCCCCCACCCCCAAGGCCCCCCAACCCTGCAGCAGAGGCAGCAGGAGGCCAAAACAAACATGGGGGGCAGGACCATGGAGTAGCCGCCCAGGCTGCAGACCAAGGACTCTCGAAGGCTGGAGCAGGACAGGGCCAGCCGCCCTCCCATGGCCTGGGAGGAAAAGGGGCCTTCTGGGGCAAAGGCCTCCACCAAGGGCAGTCGGACCAGTCCCCTGGGTGAGTCTGAAGGTGGGCTGAGGCCTCCGACAGGGTGGCAGGGTGGCGGGGTGGGTCAGGGTCTCCTCTCCCCAGCCAGGAGTGCCAAAGGTTGGGGACCTGTGCCTGCTGAGTGCGGGCTGTGTGCCGGGCCGTGGGAGCCCTGCCTTCGCCAGGGGCTCACAGAGACATCAGAGATGGTTTGCCTTCTTTAATCTTATCTTCACACCCCTGTGGGTAGGTATTATCACCTCCATTTATCTGGTGAAGAAACTGAGGTTCAGAGAAGGAAAGTAACTCATTCAACGTCACACAGCTAGGGTGGATTTGAGCCTGGTCTCTGCATTATTAACCCATAGCGACCTCCCTGGCCTGTCCACCTCCTCTGACCCCATCTGCGGGGTCAGCTGTGATTTTGTAACCTGTTGGCAGCCTCACCATTATATCTGGACCGTCCCCACTCAGATGGCCCTTTGGTCACCACGGGGCGGCCTCGCTAGGGTCACCAGGTAAGGTTGTGCAGGTTGTAAACTGAAGGGTGACCTCTGTGGCACTGGGAAACCTGTGTAACTATCAGTGGTGGCTGTCTTTTTCTGCTGGGGCTGCCCAGGCCCCAGCCTCTGCCCGCTGCCCGGGCCAGGCCTGCGGTCCTCAGGCCTCTCTGTTCACACCCACCCCTTCTCTTCCAGGGTTTGCTGCTTCCCGGCAGCCTGCAAAGGCCCCACGGACAACCTGAAGCCCCTTCTGCTGCTGCCTGGCCAAGTCCCCTCCCCCTCCCCCGTCCCTCCCACCCTCCAAAACGGGACCCCCATCTGTCAGCAGCCCACCCCATGTCCTGACGAGGCTGAGCCGGAGGTCGAGGGCCCAAGCCCTGACGCTCCTCCGAGACAGGCTGAAAGACCCCCGGCCCTCCTTCTGCAGCCGGTGCGAAGGCTGTGGCTGCTGGTCCCCGATCGCAAGGTGGCCCGCCCTGATCGCAAGGTGGCCCCCGGGCAGGAGCAGCCCAAGGGGAGGCCCACGAGCTACCAGACTGAGGTCTGAGCTGGGGGCCGGGCGTAGACCTGGGCCCAGGAAGTTACTCTGAGCACCCTGCTAGCAGCATGCCCTTCATTCCTTGGCTCCCAAGCTAAAGGTGGCTCCTTGCTGACTTTTAGGGATCTCCGTTCTTGGCCCTTTCTTCTCAGTCCCGAATTCCTGTGTGTCACCAGAGTGTTCTACCTGCGGGTGAGGAGTCCCTCTGCTCAGTGTTGTGCCTTTCCCCTGCCCCCCCGCCCCCGCCCCCCGCCCCCCACCTTGGCCTGTGAGCATCCAGGCTCCCGCCCAAGGCCCAGTCGCTCCCTCCCACCGTCCACCCCTCAGTGCCCTTCCAGATGCCCTCCCATTTCCCACCCTTTACTCGTAAACAGCTGGAGTCAGGGGCGCAGGACCCCTGCCTACACTTGCCCTGCTCCCCGCAGTGCTTCTCACTCTCCTGTTGCTTGTCAGCCTGTGTATGTGCCGGCGCAGGAAATAAAACAGCTACCTGTGCACCACTGGGTCCAGTCTCCAGATGTCTCTCAGCGAGCGTGCATGCGCGTGCGTGTGTGTGTGCGTGTGTGTGTGCGCGCACGAACGCGCGTGCGTGATGCTCTTTGGTGGGGCAAAGTTGTGGAGAGAGGCTGGGCTTCAATATCAAATATGCCCAAAGCTTTGATTACACGTATTACTTAACCATATCAACAACCACCCCTGTGGGGCGGTCGTTGTCAGATGAGGGAACGGGCCCGGGCAGGTTAAGTGACCCTCCTAAGGGTCTAACAAACAGCTGGTCAGGGAGCTAGGACCTGAACCTGAGACTTCGGCTCTGACTGGTGTCACTTGGTTGGTCGAGCATCATCCTGAAAAGTGAAGGATCGCCGGTTCGGTTCCTGGTCAGGGCACACGTCTGGGTTGTGGGTTTGGTTCCCAGTCGGGGTGCATACGAAAGGCACCCGGCGAGTGATCGATGTTTCTCTCTCACATGGATGTCTCTCACCCTTTTTTTCTCCCTCCCCTCCCCTCTCTCTAAGAGTAAGTCAATAAAGTCTGGAACCCAAGACTTCAGGCCTCCTGATCCTTTCTGCTCCAGGGCCTCTGACCTAGTGCTCGGCTACAAAGGGTGAGGCAGGGGTGACAATATCTCCCTGTCTCGGACAGAGGTCCCCCAGAGGCGGAAGCAGACCCGGATCAGGGTCTGAAAACAAGCAGTGTGTTTGGAAGGCGATCCCAGGAGGCACTCTTGGAAGGAGCTGGGGGCTTGAGAACAGAAGGAAGCTAATGACAGGGAGTTTTAGGCAACCGAGGCCAGTCCTTTTGGGGCACTCTGGGAGGAAGGGTAGTGTTTTACAACTCAGGGGGGGTGGTTCATGGGCCAGCATCACTGGCATCTCCTGGGAGTTTATCAGAAATGCAGAATCATGCCCTGACTGGTGGGGGCCGGGGGATGGGCTGGCTTAGCTGGGTGAGCGTAGTCCCGTAAAGCAAAGGGGTGCTGGTTCGATTCCCGGTCAGGGCGATGCCTAGGTTGTGGGTTCTGTCCCTGGTTGAGTGCATATTAGAGGCAACAAATTGATATGTCTCTCTCACATCAATGTTTCTCTCCCCGCTCTCTTTCTCCCTTCCTTCCCCTCTCTTGAAAAAAGAAATACAGAATCTCAGGTCCCACCCCAGACCCACAGAGTGAGAGTCTGCACGTTAACATGGTCCCCCCACAACGCACATGCGTGTTAAAGTTGGGGTCACACCAACATACAGCCCATCTCAGTTGTCCCACCCAGGTGGTGGGGAAGCCGGGACAACTCCCATTCTGCATTGGCTGAGGGCCGTTCCCGGGGGCATTAACTCACTGCCGCCCTGGCCTCCCACACCTGGGCTGGGGCAGAGTCCCCTGGCAGACAGTAACGGAGCTTATATCAGAACGTGGTCAGCATGTACAGAACGGTAAGTGCCAAGGGTACGGGCAGGGCCCTGGGGCCTGCTGGGAGCCACCCCCTGCACCAACGGAGCACTGAAGCTCCATCGTGGAGTTCCCTCTGGCCTGGCATTGCTTCTTTAAGATGAGGGCTGGTCAGAGAATCTGGAAGCAAAACTTGGAGGACGAATGGTATAAGCTGTGACCCCACTGCTGCCACTGGTTCTGATGCCTCAAAATGCTATTCTCATCTCTGCCCTCTGACACTCCTCCTACAGTCCCCGCATCCTTGGCCGCGGGTCCAGGTTGCTTTCCCGGTGCAATAACCTGCACTTTCACTCTTGAGAGGGCTGAACCCTTGGTCACCATACCCGTTTCAGGCCATTGTTGCTGCAACTTCCTGCTTATGGTCCTCACCAGGCAAGAAGGCCCAAGGGGCACCCACATCCCAGACCCTGAACACTCCTTCCTTCTCCTGCTGTGTGGTGGTGACGCTAGCTCCTCGTGCTAACCAGAGTCCACGGCCTCTGACAGTAATTGACTTTTCTGTTTGCCATCTAATAGCACGAAGAGCCAAACACGGCCAGGCAGCAGCTGCACCTTCAGGGTTTAGGGGAGTCCGGTGTGTCCCCGGGTAGAAGCACCCTCAACTAGGAGACGGGGTTCCTGGTCCGGAAGGGTGTGGAACTGAGAGGACCGGAAGCACAAACCTGAGGTGACTCTTGGCAGGGAGGGTGACAGGGGCCACTTCCACTCTACCCCTTGGGGCCTGGGCCAGTGTGTCCCAGATGTCATGGTACAGCACTGGCTAACAACCCCTGGTTCGAAGTGCATTCTGCACCCTAGTCCCCAGGGAGCACCCGTGAGTTGGTGCCTTAGCTGCACTGTTGTTTTAAATCCTCTCCAGAGGGCATGCTCACTGATTTTAGAGAGAGGGGAAGGGAGGGAGGGAGGGAACATCAATTGGTTGCCTCCTATACATGTCCCAACCAGGGATTGGACCTGCAACCTAGGTATGTGCCCTGACTGGGAATCCAACATGTGACCTTTCTGTTTACAGGATGATGCTGCAACCGACTGAGCCACACAGGCCAGGGCCTTAGCTTTGCCTTTTCTTTTTTTTTTAGAAATTTGTTATTCTTTTTTTTTAAAGATTTCATTTATTTATTTTTAGAGAGGGAAGGGAGGGAGAAAGAGAGAGAGAGAGAGAAACATCAACGTGCGGTTGCTGGGAGTCATGGCCTGCAACCCAGGCATGTACCCTGACTGGGAATCGAACCTGCGACGCTTTGGTTCGCAGCCCACACTCAAACCTCTGAGCTACGCCAGCCAGGGCTCTCCTATTTTCCATAATCTCGTTCCTACAAGTCCCCTGACCAATCGGGGGAGCCATCTGCCACTGCCCGGAAACCGGTACATACCCTACCCCCAGGCCCCCTCTCCCTCCAGGCCGAGCGGAGGAGCAGGTCTCCTGCCAGAAACTCTACCCACCGGAAGAACTGTCCCTCTGCACTGCCGTTCGCACCCCCAAGTGGCCGTGATTCAGCAGCAGTCCCCTTCCTGCTTTTACCAGCACATCGAGCCTGGCCTGGGCTCTTCCTCGTCTACGAGCTGGCCTCCAAGGAGGCCGTGGGGGTGAGCCGAGGGGAGGTGCAGTGGACGTAGGTACCCGGGGGCGTGGGTGACTGACTGCGTGAGTAACTGGTTCGTGCCCTCTGGCCCTCCTGGGGCCCAGTCCCAGATTCACCATTTACATCCTAACCCAAACCTCTGCTTGTCCCACCCAACCTTGTGGTGGGGAGGGTCTGAAAAATACCCGGCCCGTGCTGGGCCGCTCTGGTTGCACAGCGACCTAGTGTCCAAAGGTCAAGTGCTCGTTCCCTACCGGGGGCTCAGGAGCAAGCCGGAGCGGCTTTTTAAGTAGTAAGGGGTTCTCCTCCGCCCACGGCAGGTCTCTCTCTGGAACAGGCGTCTGCACACTCTGACCCACGGGCCAGATCCCACCCCTCCGCTGTTTTCACACAGCCTGCAGGGGCAACGCATGGTCGTCGTATTTACATAATTACATTTCAGATGTTTATTTGAATGCTTCCACAATAGTCTTGATTTTGCCTCTGGGCCTGCAGGGCCCAAGGTATTTCCCATTTCGCCCTTTTAGAGGAAGCTTGTCAGCCCCGGGGCCTGCACTGCCGCTCTCCTCCGACTCCCATCTGTCTGTCTGTCTGCCGTGGACTGAGAGGTGCTTCGGGGGGCACTGACTGCCCAGCATTGCCGGCCTGCCCGGGACGCCGGGACGCAGAAAGCCCTCGGGGGCATGTGTTTGTGGGAGGATGCCTCCACTGACCCAAGAACAGTGAGGGGCTGTGGGTGAGAGACACCAACGAGGGCCGGCGCCAGCCACTCGCCCATCTGGCAGACATTCACTGGGTACCTCCCGCTCTTGGTACCGGGGCTGCGGCGGGGAAGAGGGGCCCACGGTCCCCGCTCTCACGGAGTTTCCCTTACTGACTGGGGAGGCCGCAGCACACTGGCAAACCAAACGCTACAGGTTGTGACAGGCGCTCTAGAGAAAATATAACACCACCATTAGAGAATGATGGGGGGCTGTGCGTGGAGGGCGAGGAGCAGAAAGGGTGGGTCCCTCAGGAAGAGGAGTTTCTACCCAGGCCGGTGGAGGGAAAGTGCAGCCGGCTAGATTTGTGCTGCAGGGGGCGGGGGAGCGAGGACCTGTGACCTGAGCGGGAAAGAGCAGGGTGCGTGTGCGGTGGGGAGAGGAAGAGACGGGGCAGAAACGGGGCGCCCATGACGGCACCCACCATGCAAACTGGCTCTTGGAGCCTTGAGGAGGAGTATAGATTTTATTCCACGTGCCATGGGAAGCACAGGAAGGTTGGAGTGACACGACTGGAAGCTTTTAAAAAGCTGCCTCTGGCCCTGGCTGGCGTGGCTCAGTGGATTGAGTGCTGGCCTGAGAACCAAAGGGTCGCCAGTTTGATTCCCAGTCAGGGCACATGCCTGGGCGGTGGGCCAGGTCCCCAGTAGGGGGCTCGTGAGAGGCAACCACAAGGATGTCTCTCTTTCTCTTTCCCTTCCCCTCTAAGAGTAAATAAATAAAATCTTAAAAAAAAAAAAACCAACTTCCTCTGGTTCTGACCCCTACCCCCTGGTTCTCCCACCCCTGAGTGGAGACCCTGGTTCAGTGTGAGGCTGTGGAGACACCAAGAAGGATGAGCCAAGATCCTTGCCCCTAGACGGGTGCTCCACTCTCTTCCCTGCCTGGGCGCTACCCCCGACTCCCCTCCCTTGGCCCATGACACGTGACACTGTGCGATCCA